CATCAAAATGAGCACAGAAACAGTACTATATAACATTTTAGACACATTCTAGACAGTTTATCAGCTAAAAAAAGTTAATTTTGGGGTAAGTTACTCTTTAAATGATGGTTTGTGAGTTAATGTAACTCAAACTCATCAGGGTTTTTGTAAAAAGTGTTAAACAGCAAACTTACTTATGATCAGGTAGAAGAATTTACTTAGAAGATCTCAGCACGTCTCTTCCTCTGATGATCTTGGCCCCTTTTTTACCACAGCTAGATTTCCTCCATCGAATTGACTTTACTCGTCGTCACAGCTTTTACTGTTTCAACCTGATGTCATATTCCACTGTCCTGACTCGGTTTACATCCATTAATTATTTTAATAACTAAAACTTCATCGAGTGCCGGGATTCTCATCAATATTCGAATGCTACAACTTGTCACAGCTGCTTGTCAGGGAAGATTTAGCTCATCTTGCAGTATTGGGAGGAGATTAATTTCCTCAATCAGACAAAAGTCACAATTTGTTCACATTTTTTGTGAAAAAAGATAAATGTTACTAATTTTATCAGTTACTTGTGCACAAAGTTATGTTTTTTCTTCCTCCCCGCAGGTTGTGTCTATACAAATAAACCAGTGAAACGCCTCCTGACAGTATTTTGGATTTTAATTGTGGATAAAAATTTATTAGACAGGTACACAGCTTTCTTGTTTGGATTTATAATTTAATTTTGACTAAAAATTCTGCAATGATACATCAGATTAATGATGTGGAATGAGGGGAAGATGTCCTGTGAAGTTGCTCATTCTAAATATCAAGTAAAGAAAATAAAAACCAAAAAGCTCAAACTCCCAGACAGATGGTTTCATGACCGTTAGCACAAGCTAATTCACCTCACCACAGATTAAGTTAAAAAAGCTCCCACCTTCGTGGCAACAGTCAACATATTTTTTTCCTCCTCTGTTTTCTGTGTGCTTCCGTTCTGTTCTGTTTGCTCCAAATATTTATTTTTACCACAATATCTCCTGTGTTGAACAAAACTCTGGCTGAATTGACCTTTTGCCAAATTACGTCATCACCCATCACTTATGTCATCACTGTTCCTGCATGAGCTCAGGTCAGGTCGACTGTTAATACCAGTGCACTAAAACCAGCAGAAAGTGTCCATGGGGTGGAACATCTCATCATGTTCTATATGGCGAAGTTGATAGTAACCATTATTGCAGATGGGAAGTATTTATTTGACTCCCTCATGCGAAGCGGAGGTCATATTGTTGTCATACTGTTTATTTATTTCTTATTTTATTGTTTTTCAGTGATTTTTGGTATGACAGAATCGGCTGCACCGATCACCATGAAATTTGGCAGGAGTTGATGTGCCCAACCTACATTGTGCCAGCCAAGTTTTACAATAGACCCCATGTTTATGGAGGGGGGCTCCATCTAAAAAGGGTTGTTGTTTTTTCAGATCTTTTGTTATTTAGTTCTGATGAAGGGCTATCCATCTGGCACACCAATGAGCCCCCCACCCATCACTCCAACCCCCTGGATCCCCACCCAAAATCCAATAAATCTTCTCTGGTGAGTTCTGAGTTCTGATGCAGGGGTTATATTCTGTATATGCTACTGTCATAATGCGTTCACACAGAACGCGATTTCAGCTTCAAAATCGCGTCCAATGCTTCAAGTTGGTTGCTTGTGCACTTTGAGGTCAGACGCAGGACAGCTCTTGAAGAGCTGCACTGCAAGAGCCTCCCCGCCCCTCCCTCCTCTGTCGGGCTCTGTTAAATGTCAGACGAGGAAGTGGCTTTGCTTTATTTACAGAGAGCAAGAGCGTGTCACGTTCATCAGATAATTAATTCATAATTAATTCACCAGATAATTCAGAGTAGAGGCTCACAGCTCACTTTCAGGACTATTTTTGTCCTGAGTCCAGTCTGATGAGCCGCTGCCACGCATTGGTGCAGATATCTCCTGTCAGGACACCGACTGCAGGCACTCGATTTCAGCTAAAGAGCTCCTCTCCATCTGTTTCAGGTTAGTGGACATCATTCAGTAAACTGTCCCGTCGGGAAATATGTCGCTACGTCACACAGTGGAGTCTCTCTGATTGGTTGACGCGGCGCGTCGAGCTGCAAAAGWTCAGATTTTCTAACTTCAGCGATTTGCGCCTCAGCGCGTCGAACGCTCAGATCGTTCAAATTGTTCAAATCGCGCTGCTCTAATCGCGCTTGAGGCGCCGCAGAACTTCCCGACGTTGATTGAAGCGCGTCCACCATAGACTTTGCATGTAAGCCTGCTGCTCCTGATGCTGAAATCGCGTTTGGTGTGAACGTACCATTACGCCCCTGTAAAGGGGAATAAGGAAGAACAGACACGGACACGATGTGACTTCTGTCGCTTCCAGTGTTGTAATGGCAATTTAAGAACAGTTTCAAATATTACATGGTCACATAAACAAAAGGTAATTCAATTTAAAAAATACTCCATAACACAGCATATTAGCAACTCAAAATATCTTTGTGCCAACACAAAAAAAAGACTGGTACATTGTTTTAGTAATAGCTAAACGTCTTTCAAGACTGCTCTTCTACAGAAGCAAAGTCATTAACAAAACTATTTTACTCGTAAAACAATATAACATCATTTGAATCACAAAATACATCTTCTTTTAGTATTGAACATTGTGCACAAACATTGTGGTTATACCTGCACAGCAATATAACCTGTGATACGGCACATCAAACCATGAAACTGAGGTAAGTACAACCTTTAAGCAAAGCTACATTTACTCAAGCTAAGGTTACTACAAACACTTTATGGTCATTTTATAAAATAGTTCAACATTAATATGAGCAATAAAACCTGCAACAGTCTGAGTTTTTACCTGTAAAGGGGAATAAGGAAGAACAGACACGATGTGACTTCTGTCGCCTCCAGTGTTGTAATGAATGAGCAGAAGCAACACGTTTCCCCTTTATAAACTCAGACTAAACCAATCGAGACACGATCGGTAAATAAACTCACAAAACTTAAAATCTGAAAAGGTTGCACTATCTAAATACAACATAACACAATCAATAATCCGAAAGTTTTCAAGAAAAAGCATTTAAAACATATTTTATCTTGCACACGTTATTATTGCATCAGTCTGTGGTTTTTACCTCGCAAGACCAAAATAATCGATCACAGATAATTAAATTGACAATCACAGTGCATCTCATTTCCATGAATTTTCTTCAGGTAGAGAAATTAATTGTGAGGGGTTTTTCTTTTTTAGTCAAATACAAAACAATATTATTTTGCTTACTGTTTTTTGTTCTAAAAATAATTTTATAACCACTACACTACAGCTATATGGTATCTAGCTTTTTTTATTAATTTTTTTTCTGAGATTTTTGGTCAAACGTATCACTAAAATGGAGGAAGGGGCTCCATCTGAAAATGGGTGTCTGGACATAGAAAAACACAGAACTCAAAACTACTGAATATAGGAGCTTTTAGATTTTTTAAATTTATTTTGTTTTGTGATGAAGGGCTATCTAGAGACCACCGATGAGCAACCCTCACCCACTCCAGACCCCCACACAAAATCATAAATTTCTTCTGGTGAGTTCTGAGTTTTGGTGCATTGGTGCTTTGTAAATGTGCGGGGGTCACATGCTCTGCGGTATCTAGTTACATATTAATATGATAAATCCACTAACAAATGTTGGTCTGTACCGCCGTGTACAAGACAAAAACAGACTGAATCCCTTAAATCCATTTTCAATTACATTTACAATTTCAAAATCATTGAAAAACACAGAATAAAGCAAAACACAGCAAGCTACGTAGACAATTTGCATTGCTTATCATGAGGAACTGCTGACTAGTCTTGTGTCTTTGACAGCTTTGTCCAATCGTCCCTCGGAGCAGATGAAGAAACAAACTAACTCTTTGTTTTGTTGTTGCAGCTCCGACTTGACTTAGAGTTGATGCTTGTTGCTGCAACTTGCAGAAGAAAAGAGACCTCGGTCAGGTCTGCTGCAGCTGAAGTCAGTCAGATCATCATGATCCTCTTTTACTGGCATGAAGAAAGAAGACAGACGTTTCTCTTTATCAGCTTCTAGAACATCTGGTGGCATTAAACCAGAGGAGATTCTTCCAGGATGAAGCGTAGTCAAAACTGCTCTTTGGAGTTAGAACAAAATTACAAAGAATATTTTTTATTTTTATTAACTTTGAGAAAGTCAGGCGTCAGCTGTGATTTTAGGTCATCCTGATCCAGTGACTCGCGTGCAGAGAAACGTCTGTGACCTCTCTGAGCTTTGTTTCTGACTGTTGTGAGATTTTCCAATAATAAAACTTGTACTTTTCGATTCCATTAAACACATTTTAAACTTTTTATTTCACTTGCGTTTATATAAACATTATAAAGTGAACTTGTCATAAACAATTACTGTTATTTACATACACACAGTGATCACTTCCTGTTATTGTGTATTTCTTTGGTTCTCTAACAGCGAAGAGAAATGAATTAATGCATTTAACTAGATGTTTTATGTTTCTTACATTTTAATCTCATACAGGATCTTTCATCTTTGTTTCAATCCTTTATTGGTTGTTTATTTAAAGCCCGCCCATCTGCCTGGATGAGTTTAGCTAACAGAATGATAAAATGTGCAGGTGTTGTGTTGAATTATGTTCCCCTGTTGAGATCTGTTCCCCTGCTTTAATATAGGAGATTTCCAGCCAACAGGATATAAAAAATACAAGCATTTACTCACTGAAAACTGTGGCAGACGCAGTTTGTCTAAAGAACTTTTTAACAGTTCCTGCTGTGTGTGTCCAGCTCAAACAGACCAGTTTTATTGTCAGCTGGCTGCTTTAAAACTTTGAAATCCTTCTGTGTCTTGTTGCAGTTTTATTTGTCATAACAGCTGGCTTCAAAATAACATTTCTTTTGGACAATCCTGGTTTTAATTTAGTTAATTATATATAAAAGTCAGCATTTCTCCTTTCGTTGTGTCTTACAGGTGGGGTGTGCATTGCTCAGTCTCTGAAGATCCCTCGTGAACCAAAACCTGGAGAGTTCACCAAAATTGTCCTCCGTCTGCTGGAGACACCGAACGCCCGAGCTGTCATCATGTTTGCTAATGAGGATGACATCCGGTAAAAACACCATCCATCCATCCAACCATCCATCCATCCATCCATCCATCCAACCATCCATCCATCCATCCATCCATCCATCCATCCATCCGTCCATCCATCCATCCGTCCATCCATCCATCCATCCATCCATCAGTCCATCCATCCATCCAACCATCCATCCATCCGTCCATCCATCCATCCATCCATCCATCCATCCATCAGTCCATCCATCCATCCATCCATCCATCCATCCATCCATCCATCAGTCCATCCATCCATCCATCCATCCATCAGTCCATCCATCCATCCATCCATCAGTCCATCCATCCATCCATCCATCCTTCCATCCATCCA